TTTTTCGGGAATTAGCGAATAATAGCTAATAAATGGATAAATTTCGGATAATTTTTAGTTATTTATTTATTTTATTTAATATAATTTTTTAACTTCTTTTCAATATTATAAATTGAATTAAGTGTTCTCTATATAAGAAGAATTATTTTTCGTTGCTAAATAGCGAATAATGTGTCAAAATGGGACAAAAGTCGTATCAGAAGGCACGCACACATCACATCCCGTAACTGGCTATAATATTAACCCATAAACTTCAAACGCGGCCTGAACTTAGAGCTTGATGTAACGAACAATTGTACCAAAGGAATTTTTTATACACCCCTTAGTGGGCCCACAATGACCCAAAATATGTTTCGTTGACTATCCGGGAGGAAGTGAAGCGTGGCGAAGTTGGTAGCGCTTGGGGCAAGTTAGATTTGTTGTCCCGGAGAACCTGGGTTCGAAACCCTGTGAGTGTCGACTTTGAATTTTTTCTTATTTATTTTATATATAATTTTTTTAATATATTTTTCGATATTTTAACGTGAATAAGGTGCTCTGCATATAAAAATAACTATTTTTTCTTTGGGATACAGTACGAGGAAATTTTTATAGGTGAATTNTAACAAACAATTGCACCAAAGGAATTTTTTATACACCCATTAGTGGGCCCACAATGACCCAAAATATGTTTTGTTGACTCACCGGGAGGAGGTGTTTTAAGCTAATATTCTTGGGACTGGCATGTGAAGCGTGGCGAAGTTGGCAGCGCTTTGTGCAAGCTAGACTTGTCCCGGAGACACTGGGTTCGAAACCCTGCGAGTGTCTACTTTCAAATTTTGTTTATTTATTTTTTATTACTTTTTTAATATATTTTTCGATATTTTAACGTGAATAAAGTGTTATGTATATGAAAATAACTATTTTTTCTTCGGGAATTAGCGAATAATAGCTAATAAATGGATAAATTTTGGATAATTTTTATTTATTTACTTATTTTATATTATGTTATTCTTTTAACTTCTTTTTCAATATTTTAAATTGAATAAAGTGTTCTCTATATAAAAAGAATTATTTTTCTTTGCTAAATAGCGAATAATGGCTGAAAAAGGGACAAGAGTCGTATCAGAAGGCATGCACGCATCCCATCCCGTAACTCTCTATAATATTAACCTATAAACTTCAAACTCAGCCCGAACTTAGAGTTTAATGTAATGAACAATTGTACCAAAGAAATTTTTTATAGACCAATTAGGGGGCCCACAATGACCCAAAATATGTTTTGTTGACTTACCGGGAGGAGGTGTATTGAGCCAAATATTCGTGGGGCTGGCATGTGAAGCGTGGAGAAGTTGGTAGCGCTTTGGGCGAGTTAGATTTGTTGTCCCGGAGACCCTGGGTTCGAAACCCTGTGAGTGTCGACTTTGAAATTTTTCTTATTTATTTTATATAATTTTTTAAATATATTTTTCGATATTTTAACGTGAGTAAAGTGCTCTGCATATAAAAATAACTATTTTTTCTTTGGGAAATAGCTAATAAACGGATAATTTTTATTCATTTTATTTAATATTATTTTTTAACTTCTTTTTCAGTATTTTAAATTGAATAAAGTTTTTCTATATATAAAAAGAATTATTTTTCTTTGTTAACCTATAATATTTATATTGGAATACATAATATATTACCGGATACTAGTGTACCCTACCAGAGGAAATAATTATAGGCTTATGGGTGTACACAATATGACAATCAAGTTTAATATGTATGTATCAGCAACCAAAATAAAAAATTAATTCAACATGCCAGTGCAAAACTTTAATCAGAAATCCTGGTGTCAAAAGTTCAAGTCAACAAAACATTACTTTGCTTTTCTGCCATAACTGCTGTCTCCTCTGCCCTTAACAGGGTGGGGACATACCAATCTGGATCAAGCAAATTGTTTTTCTCCATAGCGTTTCCAGTCTTTGAACCATTTATAAACTTGAGAGTGAAATATGAGTTGCCAAAATAAAATTTTTTTAAACTTAAAAAAAAAAAAAAAAACGTGTTGAAAATAAAATTTTAAAAAATTATTTTATAGAATTGAAAACAAACACTCTGGTGTTCATATCGAAAAAATGTTTGATGCTTTTTGTCAATATGTTTTAAGGATTAAAAAATTTTCTTTTTTAATCTCCATATGAATTAGTTCTTGTTCATTTACGTCGCACAATGGGCTATTGGCGACGGTTCCATATGAATTAGAAAACAAAATGTAAAAAAACAAAAAAGAATTACAGTTTATTCTTTGTACCTTAAAACAGTGGTACAGTTAAAGAGGCTTGAGAGTTCAAACTTCACCCAGAAATCATCCATGTGAATTAAATCAGTTGTTGATAGAACATAAAAGATATTTAATCCATAAAAAGATGCATCATGGTAATAAGATAATTTATAAATAAACACAATGCAATTAATTTTAATTTTGGGCATTTAAGTTCCTTTTTTTAAGAAGAGATAATTGTGAAATATTTTAATATTAAACAGAAAATATTTTTATTATGAAATAGAACTAAGTGTAATTTGTTATTTCTTTCAATCTTAAGTTTATTGTCACACTGGGATTTTTCTTATTGCTATTCCTTACAAACAAGTAAATCAATGAGAAGTTAAGGTATAGTTTTATTTGCACACATGCATAATGTTGAATTTAAACTATCAGTTATTAACAAACTGTGATGATTATTTTATAATTTAGATTGAAAAGCTAAAAATCAAATACATGCACTTGTAAAAATAGTGCCCCCAAATTTACTTTTACAAATTTTACTACTTATGATAAATACGATGAAGAAGTTTAGTTGCTTGCACAAGTCTGAAGCCCCGTGGCAGAATCGTGGCGACACTGTCGCAGAATGTCACTGAGTTCTTGCAGAAAGATTTTTCATTTGGGAAGTAAAAAATTTTGGTTTTCCTTTCTGCAGAAATTTTTGAAAGGTTCTATCTTCTTTTCAGAATTATATTCAAAATTATATGCTATTCTTGCGCATCAGAGTTGGAAAAAAAGGCAGTAATTTTTCTATTTCCATTTGAGAATAATGAAGTAAAAAGTTTGGCTTCCTTTTCTGCAGAAATATTTGTTCTATTTTTTTTGGCAGTTATTGCTATTGATTTTCAAATAGTTTTTAAAATTCGATATTGTTAATCTGATATTATTTATAACAGCTGAATCTTGAAATGAAAACACGCATTCGTAACCATCCTTTTTAAAGAGTTCGATCTGGGGTGATTTCGCAGTCAATCTTTTTCTTTTTCGTTAGTTGCTGCTATGAATTTCACAATTTCTAATTTGTTTTTAAATTTGATGATGACTTACAAAAAAAGAAAATAATTAGTGTATTTTCTCCCTGCAAAAGGCGAGAATATAGAATAAAAAATTTCACATATTCAATTTTAAAAATTACATTATTTTTTGCGAAATTTTTTTTCTTCTTTTGAAGTTGACGCTTTTGTTACTTTAAATTAGTAACAAATATATTTGTTATTACTAAAAGTATCTTGCTGAAATATATTAATGCTGGAGAGATTTGTCGCAGAAAGCCCGAAAAAATTCTGCCACAGGGGTCTTAAGCAGCTATGTTATTTAAGAAATAGATTAGTTTCATTGCATACTGTTAGTTCTTAGGTTCTTCAACACACAAACCTACATCTCCCTTGGTTGTAATTTGGTCATGACAAAAATCATTACTGAATCTATCAAAAGAACCGGAGGTATGTTGTACATTTACAAGTAGACATGACTTACTACGAGCAAATAACATAAAAAATGCTACTAAAAAATTACCGCTACTACACTATAAGCAACAGAACATAACTATCTTATTTATGCACATAAAAGTTAAAAAGATAATTTTGGGATATCTTGTATAGTGTTTATTAAAAAAATTTTAAACCAACTTAGTTATTTTTACTTTGTTTAATGTTTTGCAACTTCTTTTTGTTTTTAACCTCCTTGAAAAAGAACACTGCATAGGAACTAAAAGAAAATAATTATTACTACTATTCTGTACTCCTTTTTTTTTAAGCTCCTTGAAAAGGAACACTGTGGAATTAAAAAAAAATTATTACTCTTATAAAAAAAATTTCTCTACAATTCTTCATTACATATATTTTCCTAAGAGTAAACTCCAAGTAACTATATTATCTTTATAGTTTTGGATATCAATCTTACTTGGAATATTACTTTCAGATTATGACAAAAGGAAATGTATTTCCTTTTAAGTATGCTTTTATTTTGCTAAAAATATTTTTCAACAAGTCCATATGCAAGTAATATTTCATTAAAAGTATTACTTAAAATCCTAACTGAAATTTAATTACCCTGTTATTAGTAAATGTCTCGTGCATTAATTAGATTAACTTTTGTTATGGTAAAATGTTAGAATAAAATTAAAATTTGAAAGGGCACAGTAGTGTTTTCTCTCCAAATGATTGATTACCTCATTAATGAATTGATTTAATTTAAACTATAACCCCTTTTTTTTAAAATTTACATAGAAATCTAAGTATTATAAATAAAAAATAGTTTCTGAAATATTTGATTTTGTTATATTTCAAAATTCTAAAGTTATAGGCATATATTCTTCTATTTTTAATAATATTTATTGTTGTTGCAGTTCATTTACGTCGCACTAGAGCTGCACAATGAGCTATTGGCGACGGTCTGGGAAACATCCCTGAGGATGATCCGAAGACAAGCCATCACAATTTTGATCCTCTGCAGAGGGGATGGCACCCCCGCTTCGGTAGCCCAAAGACCTGCATGCAAAATCGAGCACGTTACGGTAGAACAATTTAACGAGGATCAATACCGCACACCCTCCGTCCCTACACAGACTGATCCAAGTGGTCACCCACCCGCACACTGACAGCAACCAGTATTGCTTGACTTCGGTGATCTGCTGGGAACTGTGTCTTAACGATTAGTACACTGCGGGACTGATAATGTTTACATTTAATGAAATCAAAGCAACAAGACAAAATTTGAAACTGCAATATTTATCTCACAAATCAATTGTACCAATAAAAATGCAATAGAATATTTGGCTTTACTTTCTTGTTCCTATTATGAACACTACAAAATTTAATGACACTCTTTTTGTTTTCTTTAAAAAGTAACAAATGCGGAAAATGAATGACACCATTGCTAAATCCAATTTGCACCAAGATTTATTTTATAGAGTTAATAGTTACTATCTAAATAAGTAAATTAGTATATTAATTATATTTAGGACCTCTTGTAATACAATTTCAATAAGTCAACTAAACGTTCTGAATACAAATGGATTTTAATATAATACAAATGATACACGTAAACCTTTAAGTTAAAAGCGCAGCTGTTTTTCCATTAATTTCCCAATTTATTAGTCTTCATTATGTCTGCAAGAATCAACTCTCTGCATTTTTCTAATGTCCCGAGTTCACACCAGCCATCTCTTTCATGACAAATATCTTCTCTCCCGTCATTCTGATGAATAAGAGCTTGAACTGATTCCAAATGAATATCGCACAACTGATAAAAACACTGCCTCGCAGTGGGCAGTTCACCAGGTATATATTCCGTCAGAAGACGTCTAGTTTTTAAATCCTGATCGGACATATTTTCATCTTCATCTTTTGCAACAACCAAAAGATCTGTAGTTATAGGAATATTCTTCTGTATAGATGCAGCTTTATTAGAAAGACCAAAATTTTTTGTGCGCGGCTGAATTTTATGCTCATTAATGGGTATGTTGGCATGTATCCTCAGATCCAGAACTTGGAAAGGCTTCGAGGCAGGTGTTGTTCTTGGATCGTAGCCAAACTTAACCCACAATGTCCTCCATGGGCCATTCGTAAAGTAATAAGCTGAACAAGGTAATGGATACTTTAAACGCGATCTATCACATTTCAGTTTATAGGCAATGGCATTCCTGCTCCAAATAGGCTTCTCCTTAAAAAACTCATCGATTTTGACCTTTAACTCAAGGTCAAGAGGGTAAGTTTCCAATTGTTTCAAAGCAAGGGCTTGCGGCTCTGATGGCGTTTCTTTACTATCAAACGTGACAAAGACAGCAAACCCAGCTCTTCTCTTTCTACATTTACCGATAATGTTTTCCGGCAAAGAACGATTAGCCAAACTTGCTTTTGCTTTGTTGGTTTCAATATATCCATTTTGAGGTACATCAAAACGGGAATACATTAAAGGCGGGATAAACAATTCCATTTCTTGATCAAGCCAAGACACAGGATGCAGTTCTGTAGGGATAATGTTTGGAATTAAAGATTTATATTCGTTAAGCTGTTCGTCAAATGCAATAGGTAGAATTTGAAAATCCACTAAGGACTGGAACTTGTAGGAAGAACAAGAAACTCCTAGTAGCTCCATACTGTATGTTGGCTCTTTCTTCTTAACTTCTTTTTTCGAGCTTTTCTTAGTTCGTTTGATTACTTTCATCATGAGGGTAGTGGTTTTAATCATATCTCCGTGCACACACTTGCAATGGGGATCGTCAGGTCGAAATTTTAGTTCCAAACGTTTCGTACGATTACTAAAAGTTGACCACATTTCAGCTTCCCCTCCTAAAGTTTTTATCATATTATCCAGATTGACAACAGTTCCTGGATAATCTATTGTTATGAGTTGCTTCGAATTAAATTTCACATCCATATTTTAAATTATTTACGACACGGAATTTGTCATTAAGGTTTTCAGTCAAACAAGATTTAGAAGAAAAATACAAAAATAGTTCCAAACCCTTTTAACAAATTTATATTAAAAAAGCACCATAGTTTATAGCGTATTTAATTAAAACAACACTAGCAAAAGCAATATTAAATAGATTTAATTTTAGCATTATGCAATTTTAGCATTATTTTTTTAATGCTAGCATTTCGCCTTCTTTGGCTGTTCATTTCTGCCTTAATCTCAATTATATGAAGTTAGTTAATTTATAATTAAGAATTGAATTTAAATGAAAAAATAATAATGATTTTTAAGTCGATAATATTTTTTTCCGTGTTTTTATTGTTAAAAGCAGAAATATTTTTGTATTTGAAATTTTGTTGCCATAAAATAATGTAACATTTAACATATCCGGTATCATAATTCTGCTTCCGTTGCAGAATTTAGTTTGTTTTGTTTGCTGTCGTTGCCTGCCGGTTCACGGTTTAGAATTCTATTTTTATCTTTTTAAGAATAAGTTTATTCCTATCAATTATCCACTATGTCTAAAAATGGACCTTTAATGTATAGAGTCAATCCCTTATATGACTCGCGCCCTAATATAATTCTACCTACTTGTATGTACAAAATGAATAATATTTATGACACCGTGGAACCATCAAGTGTTGTCAGCAATATGAATGTCGAAAATGTAGATCAAGTATTTATTTTGGTTTTACTTTAAAGTCTTCATAGTCAATGTAAAATTTATATGTGACTTTTTCATGTTTCCCGTTGCTAAACTTACGCAGTTTTTGGGAGAATTTATTTATAGGACTTTTTTTAAAGAACATAAGTAACATAATTACTAACATCCGATAAAGTATGCTATAAATGTTTTGTAGCAATAATTAGGGACATTTATAGTATCTTTCTTAAACAATTACCAAGCAGAACTTAAAAATATAGCATTTCTTCCGAGAAAGTACTGCATTTTTTAAATGTTACATCACATGTTTGGGAGATTTCTATATCAGTACATGGGGGATATTTCTGTATCTTGATCTGTCGCGTCAACTACAATCGCGAAGATGCCAAATAGATTTTAAACTTGCAAATTTTAAAAAGCAAACAAACGTGTAGATGTGTTTGCCCGGGAGTGGTTAGGAGTTATACCTCTCGAGTTGCTCCCGTTCTTTGATGTTTTTTTTAGTTTCTCGCTGGCCGCTGCCTGGAAGTTTTAGAGACTTGGCAATTATTCTGTCACAGATCAGGATACAGTTACTTGCACCAAAATAATCACCCAATAAGATACAGAAGAATTTTTTTTTCTCCTAAAGAAGTCCAAGAAGTACCTAACCATTTGTAAATATTTATTCTTGCAACCACTCTCTGGCAAACCTTAACTTATCTTTTTTTTTTATATAAATTTTCTGGACGTTTAAACATTATGGCAGTTGTAATTGGTGGTAAATAGGAAAACACTCCTTATCTGCTAGTTAGAAAATTGAATTTTGATAACTCGATTTTTTACATTACTGTTTCCATACCTGTTGTGCCAACAACAATCATAAAGCTGCAAGTGCATTTAAGCTTGCAAAAAGTTTTAAAATATGCCCAGAGGTTCGCTTGGAGATGAGCTATAAGTTATAATCTGTTCTAGTTGGTACAATTCTATCTTTTTTTCTTTTCTTGAATTGCTTGAAATGACAAGAAATCATTTTTAAATTTTGATCGTAACTGAAGGTAATTTTTACAAAAATAAATGATCAACATATACAAAAACCAGTTTTTTCAAAGAGATTAAAATTGTACCTCTGCAACTATTTACTTTAGATTTAGATTTAACTTTATTTGCAATAAATTTTCTAGTACATCAATTTAATTTGTAAATAGCTAACAATCATTATTGATTCTTTATCTTAGTTTTTAAATAATGATTAAATGTACAAATGAACTGTTGATAAGTAAAATGTAATTTCTAAAATGTTTTAACTTCGTAAAATATAAATTATGATTAAGTAAAATAATGATAGAAGAAATTATATGTCAAATAGAAAAAAATATTAAAATTTTCAGAAGAGCATTAAAATATTTGAAGCAAAAATTTAAATTTGTAAAATAATTTTTCATTTTTGTAGAATTATGTATGCCAAATATTTTGTCGACCAGTTAGAATAATTAATGAATGTTGAGAAATTTATGAAATCTGACAGGCTTTTAATTTGAATTTTAGAATTTTTAAAAACAAGAAATTAGAAATAAAACATAATAAATACTTTTCTATTTAAGAAATTGCCTTTAAATATTTAATAATATTGAAAATTAATGCAATAAAATATTGGATTATCTTAGGCACTTTTATCGTGTATTTGTTTTTTAAATATTTATTTCTTTACTATATCATACTACTATTTATTATTACATATTTTCATTTATCCTCTGTCTGCTCAATTGTGTATTACTTTCACTTGCCCCCAGAGGTTGGTACACATGTCATAAGTTGGAAAACAGTACTGTAGAAGATTATTTTGAAGATATTAAATTTTATTTTAATATTTTATGATATCAAAGCTGTGTAGTTGAATGTTTTGTTTATTTTCTAATATTTTATCATCTAAACGCAAATATAAATTGAGTTATCCTAATTTTTTTATTTTAGCTTATTAGTTTTAAATATTTAATGTTTTTAGGAGGATATAAAGTTAATTGAACTAGAAAAACGTCAATTGAGTATCATACAAAAACTCGAGGATCTTAAAGAGAAAGTTGTGAAAATGACAGATGAATTAGGAGTAAAAATGGATAAAGTAAGTGATTTTGTTTTTATCAAATTGGTAAAAATGATTTAAAAAAATGCTATTTGTCATTTGTACCTTAAATGTGTTTTAAAATTTAAATTTTTTTTTTATGTTGCAAAAAAGTTATCTGTTGATAATAACTTAATGCTTTTGTTTTGACCAAAAATTCAATTTTTTTATTGCACTATAAAAATGCTCACATATTTTAAAATGATAATTCTGATGCATTTTGCTTTGTTGCAATTTTTTATTTCAAATATCGTCCTTGTGATACAAGGAAAATTTTCGACTTATAATGAAAAGTCAGGGAATTTGAAAGTGTCTTCGTACTGGATATCCTGGGCTGTTTATTATTGTTGAATGAAATGATGACTAGGCTTTTTTTTTAAAATATTGACTTCTTTTTCTTTTGATCTTCATATCTTGTTCTTCTCCTTCAATACACATATTCTCATTCAATTTTATATTTTTTGATTATTATTGCGTAAAAAAAGTAACTAAAATTTATTTTGATTTTTGCATAAAATTAAGTATCAGGTGTCGAATATTGTAGCAAACTGCATTATCTTTTATAAGTTGTATATAGAATAGCACTAAAGTTGAGAAGATACTTTCATGTCTATAAATTATAGAGTTTGACTAAAATTTCTTAAAATAAAATTAGTGTAACACAACATGAATGTAATTTTTTTCATTTGAAAGTTATAGTAATTTTCTCTTAATGATTATTTGTTTTCTTCATAGTTTTGTTCAAAGTAACTTTATTTTCTGAGATAAAGTAAAACATTAAGGATTTTAAAAAAATGTGTCTCCAAGACATCAAAAAAGTTGCCATTGATGGAAAAATGAAGCAAAAAATAGTTTCTATCTCATTCTGGCATTATTACTATTTAAGGGGCAACAGCACTTGTAGAAAAATAAACTACCTCTTTGTGTCACGTTTCTGGATGTCCGCTCATCTTATGTAACAGCCCCCCTGTTACGATGGAGAATTTAGAATTGTTATATTGGGACTTAATGAGCACAAAAAAGTTTTTTTTTTTACTCTTTTTTGGTATTTTTGGCTAAAAAAAATTAGCTTTAATTTAAAAGTTTACAAATGGTCAACTTATGCAGAGATAATGCAGATGTTACTGAAACATGTCATGTTCATACTAATTTTATACAAAATTTACTAACCTATAACTTTTGTATTTACACTTTTCTGATGTAGCGCATTGTTTTTGAGAAATAATTAAAGCTCTCAAAGCACCCTGTTTCTGATCAGGTTTTTTGACCTAAAAGTTGACACTCACCTGGCCTGAGAAGGTAAACTTTGTATTATTAAAATATTACCAATGTAGTTAAAAATAAAAAGGCTTATGTCATTATCTTTTTTCTATGAATAAGCTTGTTTTCTTTGCTAACAACTGGATTACTTAGTTATTGAAAGGTTTTGCTATTCAAGCATGTCCTTCATCAGTAATTGTCAGATAATTAAAAAGTAACAGTTTAAGTTTTATAAACAACGTATACATCAGTAATGTGTAAAATTTTGTAATACAAATTATGTGCTGGTTATCAACATTTATGTTATCTTAAGTATTTTTAATGATTTAGATGAAAAACGTGTTTAAAAATTTTTTGGTTTTGATGTTTAACTAGTTACTTAATTTTTTTTTAATGTGAAGTAGCCTATATTAAAAAAAAAATTTTTCCCACCAATTTTCATATTAATTATATTTTTTTCAGCCTATTGAAAGCATAGACAAGTTTCAAGACATTGTAATCAGGGCAAATCCTCAAAATCCACCACTTAGTATTTGGGTGTTTTATCAAATATTGTCGCAAAGTGTTCCGGCAAGATTAGTTACTCATCTGCATTCATCTTTAAAAAGTATTCCTGAAGCTATCTGTCATCTCCCAACCTATAATGCAGAGGATAAAAGCAATATTTCTCTGACTGTAATTTGGAGAGATGGTATGTTTATTCCTTGATTCTATTATTTCAAATGTAATCTTGAAAAATATAAATTTTTGCTTTGCTAAAACTATGCAGAGCCAAACTCATATGGGAAGATATTGTGCTTCTTCGATCACTTAAATTCCATGTAAACCAAATATGAACAGTTCACAGAATTTTGTTCCAACACCCATAGCTTTTATCACATTAGAATTGCCATCTTATTCATCAGATTTAAACCCTTGATTTTTCAATTTGGTCCATCTTGACAAAAACATGGTTTATGCTAAACCTCATAATACTTTGGCATCCTTAGAAAAATGTTGTAGTGATAAAAGAATAAAAAAATTTATTGCTACCCATAGAATAGAAATTTGGAGCGTTTGCTGTTTTGCACCAAGATCAAATATGGTCACTTTGAAAATCCGCAAACTTTTTACATGTAGTTTTTGCATCTTTATTTGAAAGGTTGGTTGTGATATTTCAATAAATTAATTTTTTATTTTATTTTTTATAATATGTGCGCTCTAATTATTTCTTGTCACTCTGTCATTTTAGCATATTCATATTTTTTTATGAAATATGCTAAAATTAGTTATTTTCTGAATAATAACTTTTTACCAATAAAATTTTTTTTTTTATGCATTGCTGTAATATTATTATTCTATTTAACGTAAGTCATTGAAAAAAATTCTTTTAAAATATTTTCCCCAAAATAATCAGAATTATTGTTTTTTTTCTTTTCTTTTTTCTTCTCATTTTAAAGTGTTATTTTTGAATGAAATAATGCATATCTAAGAGCACTTTTTAATTTCAAATTATTCTACTGCTTGAGATTTTAAATTCTCGAAATGTTTTATCTCATTCTTAAGCATATATATATAATTGAAATAATTAACTCTTAAGTGAATATAAGTTTATAATTTGTTTTTCATATAATTTGAATTTTAACTTTTGGCCCTTAGTATTTTAATCTGATAATGTTGTTGTTTGTAGTAATAAATTATACATAGCTTGGATTTTCTGCTAGACCTTTGTATTGTACAAAATTTTTTGTAATTGTGGTAGAGTTTCTGTGAAAATTCAATGTAAAATATGTATTGTGCTTAGCTTATTGCTTGTTTGAGATTTTAAGTAATACTACTAAATAATCATGTAAATTTCAAATAGAAGGTAGTTTAAATAGTTCAAGAATATTTTTTTTAATCTATATTTTATTCAAAAATATGTTACCTCTATATAAAAGAAATTTACTATCTTTTACTATTCAAATGTAAGAATATAATAAGGCTCATAAGGAGAAGGTAGGAATTAAGATAATTTGCTCAAATTAAAATGCTCCTTAAATATTAATCAGGTAAATTTTTTCAAAATGGAAACTATAATATACAAAAATGAAAATAAAAATGTATAAAAAGCCTTACTTATAATAGTTTTTTTTTTTAATTTACTCTGACTGGAATAATGTTTAAATTTTTTTTAATATATACATAGGGAAAAGTGGGGTAAAACCTGGTAGCTAAAATTTAAAAACTTGTTAGGTCAAAATTTTTTGACTTAATCTGTCAAATTTTATAGAGATATTCATTCTTTAGTTTTGTACAATATATCATTTTTGAACAGGTTAGAGATGCAGTACTTTTTTACAAAGCTAGAAAATACATTATTATATTAAACAATTGAAATCTAATGTTTTATTGTCTTCTTTGGAAGATCAATTCGTCTTAATTCTACAATTGTCTTCATTCAACTTCACAACATCACAACTTCATTCAACATCAATTAAGGACTTGGTTTTTTTTGACAAAACTTTTGTTATTTTGATTCTTCATATGCTTTTCTTTTTTGTTATTTTGTTTTGAGGTTTTCATTTTTTTTTTGGAGTTTCTGCACAATGACTTTCTCTTCCTTGATAGCACTTTTTTAAAATCTTGAACCTTGATCTTTTCTTAGCTCTCATGATATTATAAATCGGCCTTATATGNGTATTGTTTATTTTTACCTCGTCCCGCCCAATTTAGGGCACACGAGAGTAGAACAAACATTCTACAGACAAAACATACATAAAACATGAAAAATTATAGTAGCAACAAATATATAGACATATAAAGAATAAATTAACATAGACATATAAAGAATAAATTAACATATGAAAATATTTACAACATAAAATGCAAAGTTATGGTGAAATGACTTAAGCAAAAAGCATAGTAAATAAATTTAACTTAACTTTAAACTGAAGCACAGAATTTAAAATGCATTTAAAGATTAAGTATATGAGAATGAATGACAGCTAGGTTATATTGTTATTTGAATTTGGTGGATTTAACATGTCTTCGAGTGTAACTGGTCTTACCCTCAACGGCAGAGATTCGCAAAATGAAACATAAAACAGAACCGTGCTACTACTGAACTTAGTAATCCTTATTGTTTGTTCGGGTATGAGTCCTTGATAAACATATAATAAACTGGTTTCAAAAGATTTTTAATTATAACTCAAGAACATCAGAGAGTTATCATGATAAAACAAACTGATCAACACAGATGCCTTGGATTCAACAACAGCAATTCACCAATATGGCATCTCCTTTTTACCTGGTAGAATGTAATTCAGTGTCTGTTCTCTAAAAAGCAAAATTATTTTCACTAAAATTTTAGTACCCAGTTCCATCCCATAACCTGGTCTTATTCTACTCTCTCTCTCTCTCTCTATCCCTCCCTCCCTCTCTCTCTCTCTCTCTCTCTCTTTTTTTTTTTTTT